ATTTTTTGACACATAAAATGCATGCTTGACTATTTTTATTAATCATTTCAATTTATTTTAAAAAGATAAAAATATAAAAAATTAATAAGTACGCAAAGTTTGAAATGGATTTAAGTAAAAACAAAAACTAGAAAAGAAAATGAATGCATGCAGCTAGCAATCATGCGGTCTCTTTCACATGTAACTTTTTGAAATCAATGCTACTATGAGAGCATGCATTTGTTCATATAGGAATCTGCTTTTATATTGTTCATCCTATGAGATGCTTCATTTGGTGGCTAAGTTTGCTAAATGAAACTTAGCAACTGATAATAATAATTCCTATTTCTGTTGTTGTGTAACATTGAAGTTTATACATTTTTACAAAATAACTTCAGTTTTTTAGTCCTCTTCGTACATCACTTCCCCGCAACTACTTACAAGTTTCCTTAGTTACATTTTTTTGACCACTTTTGTCAAGTACATGTGGAAAATGACATGCTAAAAACATGATGTGTGTAAATCGATGTTGCACCTTTTATAAAGAAGTCAAAAATAACTCGAGTTTTTCAATCCTCTTCGTCCATCACTTCCCTACAACTGCTTACAAGTTTCCTTAGTTACGTTTTTTTTATCACATTCGTTAAGTACATGTGGAAAATGACATGCAAAAAACATGATGTGTGTAAATCAATGTTGCACCTTTTATAAAGATTTTCAATCCTCTCTGTTAATCACTTCCCTGTAACTGCTTACAAGTTTCCTTAGTTACATTTTCTTGACCACATTTGTCAAGTACATGTGGAAGTTGACATGCAATAGATATGATGTATGTATATGCTAATATGTAATGCAAGAGTGGTAGAATTTCTAAACAAAATAATAATCCATGAATAAGATAATTGTAGAAATTTTAAAATAGAAAAATAGTATGGAAATATCATGTAATAGGTGGATAAGAATCTCTTTCCTAATTTTTTTACAATTGCTTATGGTTCCTCAATTACACTTTTATGAAAAAAATTCCTTATACCTAAGTCGAATAGGTAAACTCATCACAATCAATTCAATTGCATCCTCACTATTGACTTCAAAAATTAGTTTTGCGTTTAGCTTTACATGTTACCTTATAAATTTAAGAGATTATGTGGTGATTGGGCACATTAGTGTACTTTTTGTGATATGAATCCTTAATGCTACTTAATGTATATGATTTATTACATCAATTTTGCATCTAATTTCATGGCTTGGTAATCTTCTAAGAATTTTTTGGCATAATTTCCAATATTATTACTGAAGTGAATAACTCCTTATCCATAAGAAAAGAATAAATAACTAAATATTACTTTAAGTTGTGCAGAGAAAAACTACCATCTTTTATTTTTTCTATACAGTTATGCAGTTTTTTTTGTTTCTTTACTCATGTTACAAATGTAAAATCAATGTAGTTCTGTCTCTAAAAAGTCTAATAGACCTTTGAAGTTTGAAGTTTTATTTTGCTTCAATAACATCTTAAGGTTGATTCATATTTTTTGCTTTCTAGAGAAAAGATAATCACATGGTTCTTTTTCCTTGCTTTCTATTGTCTACAGTCATATGAGCTATAATATTTTTGAGAGATTGAAATAAATAGAAACATAAATACTGCTTCTATGTTTGGCATTTCTCAACATGAC